GTGATCGAGCATCCTTGGCTTTGACAGCAGCAGCAGCACTACTATCATTACCACTTTAAAAAAAAAAAAAATTCAAGTTTAAAATATAAATTAAAACAACAGTTTCCACAGTCATACTCTTAAATGTCAAGTGTGCACCTGGCTGCCAGAGTATCAAGCCCCCAGGCTAAGCAGTACAGCCTATGGAATGCCCTGCTGAGCTGTCACCATGTGTGGCCCAGGTGTGTCCTGGAGGGAACTGTGAGCCACTCTGTTTATAAAATATATTTGGGAAGTTTTGTTTGTGTTTTTGGGACAGTGTCTCACTTTGTAGTTCATTCTGGCCTTGAAATCACAGCAATACTCCTGCCTCAGCCTTCCCATAGCTGGGAGAACAGGTATGAACCACCATGCCCAGCTGTTAAAATAAGTTTTCATTAAGATGAAATTCACATAAAATCCCACCCACAAGTGAACTCGGTAGATTTAGTATATTCACAATGGTGTGCAACCAGTACCCCATCTCCAAAACCATGCCCTTTTCCATCACCCCCAAAAGAAGCCCTATGTCCGTTAGCAGTCACTCTGCATTCTGTCCTAATCCTGCTCCTAAATGCCTCTTCCCTGGCTCGTTAACTACTGATGATTCCACTTCCAGTGATTTCTCTGGTTGGACATCTCAACATTGGAAACTTACAGTGTCTCTGTGTCTGGCTTAGTTCGCTGTGTCTGGGCTCTCCAGGTTGGCCATGGTACAGCCTGCATCAGAACTCGGCTCCTTCTCAGGCTGAGCAAAATTCCACTGAATGGACGCATTGCGCTTCATTCATCAATTCATTCACGGATGGGTGATGGGGCTGCCTCCACCTTCGGGCCATTGTGAGTAACATGTGCAAACAACACCTGTTTCAGCTCCTGCTTTCTCTGGAGCATTTAGGGACAGAATTGCTAGGTCCAACAGTAATTCTACATTTAACTTTTTTTTTAAATTATTTATTTATTTTTATTTATTACATTTATTTATTGTGTGTGTGTGTGTGTGTGTGTGTGTGGCCAGCTCAGCCCACCAGGGGGTGGGGCTGGCTGGCATGTGGTGCTGGGGGATCGAACCGCGGTCCCTGAAGCTTTTGCTGAGCTTGTTTTAAGTAGGTGCTTTAGACCACTGAGCCATATCTCCAGCCCTACATTTAACTTTTTGAAGAGCCTCCGGATTGTGTTCCATGGGGCAGCACCATTCTCCATGCCCAACAGCAGTGTGCCATGCTCTGATTTCTCCACATACTTGATAACACCATCCATTCTTAGCAGTCACCTCCACCAAGGGTGAGGCCTGTACCTGGCTCCTGGCCCTGGGTGAGTTCTGGTGGTAGCTCAGATGTTGCTGCCTTCAGCAATGGGGTAGCAGACAGGATAGGGGCTCACATAAAGCCCCCTCAAAACCTAGACCTTCTCTCCAAAGCTGTGGTCAACTTCACCCTTGGTCCTTTTTGAGGCTCGGTCTTGCTGAGTCACCCAGGCTAGGCTTGAGCTTGCTGGACTAGGATTATAAGCATGTGCCACTGCACCCAACTTCTTTTTTTTCCTCCTCCTCCTCCTCCCCCCCCTCCTCTTCCTCCTCCTCCTCCTCCTCCTCCTCCTCTTTTTGGGGGTGAGAGTAGGAAGAGGGTGGAATGAACCCAGCCCTTCAGGCGTGTTAGGCAATGTCTTCACCACTGAGACACATCCTTCACATTGCATTTTGGTTATCTTTTTTTTTTTCCCCCCTTTATACCAGGAATCAAATTCACAACCTCATGCACTTTGCCAGACAGGTGCTGTGCCGCAGAGCTATATCCCCAGCCCCTTCACACTGCATTTTATATAATCCCCTAGGCTTTCCAAATGCTAAAGTAACAATCTGCAGTTCCCATGATGCCTTCATGAAGATATACACAAAGCGACCCGCAGGACAGCTCACAGGGCAGAGCAGTTGCCTGGCAGGACAGGTCAGCCACAGCAACCTCACAGGGAAGCCAGATGGAGCAACTGGGGATGTAGAGATAAACCAACAGAGAAGGGGAAATCAGGAGTCTGTGTCAGCAGGGATGGGAAATGGGGGTGGACACAGCACAGCAACACTCAGAAATGCTGCATCCTCTGGCAAGCCTACTGAGAAACAGCAACTTCTGGAAATCCTCTCCGTGCAGGAAGAGGGGAGCGGTGCAGCTTGTACACAAAATCTGCAGGGTTAAAAATTCATGCACGAACACACTGCAGTGAGTTTTCAGAGCCTAAGCTTCAAGGGCTAATTCCTCAGAGAATAGCGCAAGCTCCTTCACGGTGTTCCGCAGCTGCACGTGCACGGTGTCAGCATGGGAGGATGTGGTGCCCAGCAGCAGGCACCTCCTCCAGCAGCGCGACGCCCACACAGTGCAGGGGGCAGTCCGCTGGCTCCCTGCAGAGGGAGAGGCAGGGCAACGCGCAAGCCAGAGCTTGGCTCCTGAGCGGAAGGAGCCGGCGCTGTTGCCACGGCTGATTTTACATCTCTGTAACCAGGCGAGGAGCTCGCCTGAGTCAAGAAGTCTCATTTAACATTCGAAGTGTGGGAGGGAGGGAGGCAAGAACTGTCACACGGTTTTAGCTGCCACCCCTGCCTGCCCTCACTGTCTGGTGTGGGAGCCACCGCACAGTGGGGCGGCGCATTGGGGAGGAAGGGGGAGCCAGCAAGTCTGCGTGCCTGTAGCAGGTGAGAAGGTCAGAACCTCTCGCTGTGGCGTATGGGGTGATAGCAACAGCTCCTAATACTGCCCTTCCTCCTGGCAGCTGCAAGAAGAGCCCTCTGCATGTGTTCCAGGGCTGCTATGACAAAAACAGAGGTCTTAACACACAGTCCTCTTGTAGTTCTTTTTTTTGAAAACGAAGTCTCACTATTATAGCTCGGGCTGCCTTTAACTTATTAACTTATTAGGTAGCCCAGCCTGGCCCTCAACTCACAGCTATCCTTCTGCCTCAGCCTCCCAAGTGCCAGGATTAGGAGGCATGAGCCACCATGCCTGGCTGTCTTGTACTATTTATTCATTTATTTATTTGGTACAGGGTCTTGCTATGCAGCTCAGACTTGCTACGTAGCTCAGATTGTAGTGATTCTCCTGTTTCAGCCTCCCCAGTGCTGGGATTACAGGTGTATGCCACCACGCCTGGTTTCAGTGGCTGGCTCTAAATGGAGCCAGCATAGCACAGGACCAGCACACAGTACCAGGGATCAAACCCTGGTCCCTGTGCTTGCCAGGCAGGCACTTAGACCGCTGAGCTATCTCCCCAGCCTCTCTTGTACTTCTGAAGGTGACATCCAAAGTTAAGGTGTGGGAAGGACCATACTCCTTGGGAGGCTCCCTCTTTCAGCTTCTGGTGACTGCTGGCTCCCCTGACTTATGGACATGGTGCTTCTGCCTAGTCTTCACATGGCTTTCTCAGCGTCCATGTTACAAGGATGCCTGCTCCACACTTACAGCCCACCGAGACAGTCCCAGAGGTCCACACCTGCCGTCTTCCAGAAGAGGCAATGTTCACAGGATGTCTTCTGGGGCCCATGGGGCAGGGCCACCACTTACTCTCCTTGGATACTGCTCAGCGCAAGGCAGCAGCAAAACTGTGAAGACCCGCCAAGGCCATATGCTGAGCTCCACCAAAGGACGAGAAGCCGATGCCCGAAGCCCTGCCTTGATTACAGGGACCGCTCTCTGCATCCACCCACTCAGGGGAGACAGAGTGCTGGGTTTCGCAGTGCCATGAACAGGGTCTTCATGCATCAAAACCTGCAAGTAGCACTTCAGACATGCTCAGAAGGAAAAAGTGTCCAAAAGGCTTTTGACAAATGACTAAGTCAACCAAGAACACAGCAAAGTCAGAGTCACAGGCAGACACAGGTGGGGATTTGTGGCCCAGCAGGGGATCCCAGTACAGATCTACAGATCGGCCTGGGCTGAGAAGAGAGCCATAGGAAGAAGCCACAGCGCACTATGTGACTGTCTTCTCTGAGACCCTTTATTTTCCCAAGTGAGGCTGCAGTGGAAATGCAATGCTCAGCGCTGACAGTGACAGCAGCTTTGAGGGACCATGGGAATCAACACAGGTGGCATCTCAGTGCCAGGGTCTTCACCAGGCCTGCTGTGACTGGCAGGATACTGCAGATGCCTGTTTGCAGCACAGCAGGTACCCTGGGCTGCAGCTGGCTCTGCTTTTTTCCTATCAACTATCCAGGCATTAGGTGCCTAGCACATGTTAACTAAAATCCTAGGGGCAGCTGGGATATAGAGAAGCCCAGACAGCAGTCTCAAGAAGGACAGGCCTGAGGGAGTCTGTGGGCAGCTAGGGGCAGAGCCAGGACCCCAAGGTATCTCCAGCCAGGGTAAGAGGAGCACAGTGCACACAGCCCATGCATAGGAGTGCAGCTCCCCCCTCACCCATTTCTCCCCCTCCTCCACTGGGAGAAGCTGTTTTCAGCCTGTACGGGGCTGGGCCTCTGCACCATCGGGAAAGAGCCCAAGGACAAGCAGGGACAGCTTCCCAGGCCGGCCTCTGCTCAGGCACTGCCACTCTCCCTGCCCCCCAATATTAGCTCGCTGCCCGCTCTGACCTCACCAGCCAGCCCAGGGCACACACACAATACTGGCAACCAGCAGTCCAAGAGATGAACACTGTGCCACAACCTGTTCCACGTGTACTTTACACACTAATGTAACATTCAGGAACAGCAACATGGCTTGAAATTCTCATGAAGAATCAAGAGTCACCTGGCTCAATGACACCCTTAGGAAGGGCTGCGGAGGTAGCGTGGAGGTCTAAGTGCCTGCCTGCCTGGCAAGCACAAGGACATAGGTTCGATCCCCAATACCACATGCCTTGCCAGCCCTGTGCTGAGCCAGCCACCAAAACTGGTCGTGGTGACACATGCCTATAATCCCAGCGCTGGGGAGGCTGAGACAGGAGGATCACTACAAGTCCAAGCTGTATAGTGAGACCCTGTACCAAATAAATAAAAAAGATTTTATAAAATTGAAGAAAAGCCTTAGCAGATGAGCAATGTGGTGATAACCACATTTTTACAGAAATAATGTAGAGTAAAAGAAATCATCAGCACACAGATTACAATCCCAGCAGTTCTAATCCAATGGTCACAGGTCCAGAGACCAGTGACAGGGGGGTGTAAAGGACTGGGCAAGGAAGCCCATCTGGCAGGAAGGAAATGGAGACTCGCCACTTGCAGAGTGTGGCTGGGGCTCTCCGAGAGGCATGAGGCAGCCTGGAGCACAATGCAAGAAATCACACTCACCAGCACACACTTGCCAGGCTCCAAGCTCCAAAGGGAACTCTCAGTGTTGATCTTGTGGGTGAGCTTCCCTTCCATGAGGACATGCTCCTGGCCCTCCTCCAGCATGGCCACGCGGATGGAGCCGCTGCTGAGGGCCACTGAGACCTAGAGAGAAGCAAAAGAAAATCATGTCTATAAGTGGGGCTTGCCAGTAGCTGGACAGTGGCAGGAATGCTGGTTACAGCCTCCCAAGACCTGGGATTACAGGCGCATGCCACACCCTGTCTCAATTGCCATCTCAGAGTGCCCTGGGGGCAGGGCTGAGCATGGCAGACCCAGGAATCAAACCTCCGGCCCCTGTGCCTGCTTGCAGGTACTCTAACCCACTGAGCTATTTGGAACTCCTGTGGGGCTCCAAAGGCATCTGCATGAAGGAAGCCATTCCAGCCCGCTCCACATCGAGAGCCACCTGCACACGTCAGCTCCCCCAGGGCATGGTGCACATTCCAAAATCCATATAGACACCTCCTAAAAATCTATGTTTTACAACATAAAAGTTTTTATAATAGCATATTCCTTACACAAAATGCTTGGGGGCAGAAGTTTTCCAGATGATGAAATTTTTTCAGATTTTGGAACATTCTCATAGACTCTACTGGTTAAACTACAATACAAAAAAAAAAAAAAAAAAAAAAAAACCCTCCCTAATCTGAAAATCAGAAATCTAAAAACTTTCAGGGCTAGCCAAATAGCTCAGTGGATTAAAGCACCTGCAAGCAGGCGCAGGGGCGGGGGTTCGATCACATGGTGGCACGTGCCTGTAATCCCAGCTCTTGGGAGGCTGTAAACAGGCAGATCACTATGAGTCTAATGTAGCAGTGAGACCCTGAACACTCTGTAGACCCTTCCCTAAAATACAAAAAATAAAATAAAATAAATAAAAATTTTTGGATCAGGAATGTTCAACCTATATCTGCATGGTGTATATATTAAATATTGGAAGTATTTAAAATTCTTTTTATAAGTCTGGAAAATTTATTTAATTGTGACATGGTACCTGCTTTATTAAATGCTTATAAAATTTTAGGGAGAAAATCCTCACAGAATTTTCCAAGTACAGTTTTATATTGGCCAATGGAATCTGACACTATGAGCTAAGTTTGGTTTAAATGAGCACAAATCAAAAAAGAAAGCGGACAGCCTGAATGCAAGCCTTTGCTCCACTGGGTACTTCAATTCCTGTGTGCGGGCAGCTGGAAAAGGTGACAGAGGACTGCCCCAGAGGACACAGGACCCCTCACACACCAGTGACAGAGGGAACTCTCCACCTGCTCAGGCTGTGCTGCCAGGTTCTGTGAAGACTCATCACACAGGCCACCTGCGCCAACTTCACAGAGGAAGCTCTACTTTGGGAAAGTCTGCTGCCCTGGCTTTGCTGCCCACCTTCTAACTGCAAAAGCAGCATATGCAAATGTGACACAGCTCAGTTCTCTCCCAGGTTGGCTCTAGATGGATGCTAGAGCCAATCAGCCTGTGAACTTGTGCATGTGACCAACAGGTGATGCCACCCAAGCTCCCTTGGCCTGGCCTCCCAAGAACAAGCTCAGTTTAACAAACTCCCCTGACAACTTTATGTAATACCATGATTTCCAAATCTGGGCAAGATTCTCACACGTCCTACCCAGGAAAATGAATGAGATCCTCAAGGGAGAAAATCAAGAGTTCCACGTGAAAAATATCATACCAGAAACAGGTGGTCATCTCTGACCTGCCACTGAAGAAATGATGGCAACAAAGAGAAAGACCCCATCCCAGTGAAAGAGGGGAAGTGAGCATCCAGCAGCAGATGAGACCCTGAGGCTGGGGCACGGAAGGACTGTGCAGGAGACAACTCTTCCAGAGCAGGGGGCACCGAGGAGCGACAGCAGGGAACCCACCTGAGGGCTGGCAGTTATGGAGAAAGAGGCGAGGCCAGGGCACAGAAAGGAACAGCCAGGAGCCACTGCTTGGAACAGCTGCACTGTGCAAGCCCAGCCAAAAGGGACAGGACCCCACGGTCTACCAGTCCTGCTCCTGAGACTGAGCAGCCCAGGCCCAACTCCCTCCAGCATGTGACAAGCCAGGCCTCCCAGCCTGTAAAGCAAAGCTGCCACACCATGGAAGAAGAGGCCTCTGACACACAGGAAGGCAAATGCTGACAGTGCCCCACACACAAGAAAATGGGACTATTAAAAAAGAAAAAATAAGAAAGCAAGGATTGGATCTTATTAACAAAACCAGCAGCATGAAAAGAATGACACAGAAACCAAAAACACAGACTACAAAGCTAATCAGGAAAAGACAAATTTAAGTATTTCCATTTCATATATCTTTACAGAGAACTGAAAAGACAGTTTCAATGGAAACCAGAGTAAAATATGAAAAAGCTGTAAGATCAAAAGGAAAGAATCAAAATTCAGTATAGAATATAAGTCAAAGAAATCAAAGTAAAGATGGTGAGATCAATCTGACATTCCAGAAATTATGGCAATAAGCAGCAAATTTCCCAACAAGAAAAAAAAAAAAAAATCTTTGGGTGGAAGAGAACCACTGTGCGAAGAGAATGAGTGAGCAGTGACTGAAACAGACTTGGGTAATTTTACAACATTAAGTATTTTAAAAGGTCCCAGGCATTCCAAGGAGGATATCAAAAAGGTTTATTCACAAAGTCCCCAAATGGATAGGGCTTCTAGAGTCAGCAGCACCTGAGGTAAGAAAGCAAGAGAGACCTGCATTTAACCTTCCAAAAGGGAAAGTGGCCCTAAGACAGAATGCTGTTATCACCCAGCAGTGAAAGAAGAACAAGGTTTAAAAAAACATACTTTAAGTCATAAAAGAAGTCTGCATTTACCACATATATCACTTAGATAATTCAAGAAGAAGAATCTCCAATTGGAATCCAAAAATCAGTCTATTTAACCTACAAACACAGAAAAAGCCCAGGATGGTAGCCAAAAAGCAGAGCCCCAGAATAATCAACCAGACCGGCATCCGAGCAAGTGATTTCTAGGCAATACCAGTATTACTGCATCTGGATAGCTTACACTACAAGGAAAGTGCACTGCTTTTGACAAGATGAAAAAGAAAGGTAGCAAAAACCCTAGGAAACCAATATGATAGGCAAGACTCCTGATCCAATGGGATGCCAGTGAAATGGCAGTACTGTTGTAGTCAGGTTTTACAAGGGAAACAATTTAATACACGATACAGACTTTATACGATTATTTTATATTAACTCAAAGTGTCAAATGCAAAACAGTTCAGGAGATCTGTTCACACACTGGAAACCCAAAGAATCCAACTTAGGCCCAGAATCCCATAGTAATGTCCTGACTCCAGCTGAAGACGTACAGCCCATGGTAATGTCCTGCACAAGCACAACTGGAGTTGTCAAGTCCACAACAATGTCTCATGCAAGTCTGTATCAACTGTCTGCTGGGAAAGCCACAAGGTCAGTGGTGGAAACTAGAAAGTCTAAGCCAGTGGGACGAAGGATCTGTGCCAACAGTCTGAGGGATCTGCATTGGAGCCAGGAAACGATGTTCAAGGTAAAGACCAGAGCTTTCCTGAAGAGTATGATAGCCATTTTTAGAGACAGTGAGGACCTCAGTTCCTCTGATGATAACTTCTGAGTTCATATAAGGAAAATCAGCACAACAAGCTTCTCCAAGATAATCAACAGCACACTATCGCTCCCTCCAGTTCTCCTTTTATGCTACTGGTAATAATCCTCAGATGGGCCTTTCACACCCAGAACCACATTGACTTGGTGCAGCAGGGTTAACCATTAGTTAACCCATCGTAAGTACTAATAAAGAGCTCTTATTCCATAAAAGCAACAAGAAAGAATGCCAGGAAGTGTCAAGATCCACTCCTCATGGACTGTGCAAGTGAACCAAAGGTTTGCAGGAAGCCAGGGAGGATTTACTCTGGAGAAACAACCAGCTCACCAACACCCGTAAGCTGGATGGTATTTTTAACTCACCCAAGACCCATTCCCACACTGGCCCTGGCAGCTTGCTCTCCAGTGCTCCCAGCAGCCTCCATGAGGAGGAGAGCAGAGCCAGAGCTCTTTCAAAGCTCAGTTCCAAAGAACAGCCATGATCTCACCCATCTGAGGGCACCAGGAAGACCTTGCTTGCAAGGCTGTTTCTCCAGAACTCAGAACACCCTCCCCCAACACACATACATGTACTCTCCTCTGGGGGTTTATTGAAAACAATTATGTGTGAGGATTTGACAAGTGAAGCAAACAAAAGGAAAAGGTGGGGGATAAAATGTCCACTGAAGCTTTGAAAGGCTCTGATGTATTTCAAGGCATCTAGAGAGCCCTATGAATGTGCAGGCTCAGCACCTACTCAGGGAAACCTGAGGCAGCCACAGGTTCTTGTCTGTGGCTGACCTTGACCATGAGCAGGAAGTGAAGGCTACAGCAGAGCGGTGGGTGTGCTGAGCTCAGTGGGCACCTCAGCCCAAATCAGGTGACTACTAAGTTCACCAAGCAGAGAGTTCACAAACTACACACAACAAAAAATACAGATTTATACAGCTCTTTTAGAAAACTGCAGCTACATTAGGCACCAACAGCAAATAACCACAAGAGAATCTGATTTCAGGGCTGCCATATTGTGTTACTAAAACAGCTTCCTTTCAACAACTACAAAATACAAGATTTAAGAAATGAGCAAGTGTGGCCCATACACAGAGGAAAGAAAGCAATCAGCAAAGTCTGTCCCTGAGGACATCCAGACATGCACTTATTAGAAAGTGCTAGAAATCAGCTATTTTTAAATGTGCTCAAAAAGTAAAGAAAGCCAGGTATAAAGAGGTAAAGGAAAAAAAAATGAAAATATAGTCTCACAAATGTAGAAGACACCAATAGACTGATGGCAACTTTTTTTTCTTTAATTTAAAATAACTAAATACCTTCCACCACAGCAACCACTGAGGAACAGTACCCATGGCCTTCCTCTATCCCGTGGCCGTGGACCTCAACAAGGGCCACAAGGTGACTAAGAATGTGAGCAAACCAAGGCACAGCCGCCCTCAAGGATGCCTCACCAAATACACCAAGTTTGTGCAGGACATGATCTGGGAGGTGTGCAGCTTCGTCCCCTATAAGCAGC